CAGGATCCAATGGATACCAGAGCTGGGAGCATCCCAAGGAATCAGGATCCAATGGATACCAGAGCTGGGAGCATCCCAAGGAATCAGGATCCAATGGATACCAGAGCTGGGAGCATCCCAAGGGATCGGGATCCAATGGATACCAGAGCTGGGAGCATCCCAAGGGATTGGGAACAGATGGATACCAGAGCTGGGAGCATCCCAAGGGATCAGGATCTAATGGATACCAGAGCTGGGAGCATCCCAAGGGATCGGGATCCAATGGATACCAGAGCTGGGAGCATCCCAAGGGATCAGGATCCAATGGATAGCAGAGCTGGGAGCATCCCAAGGGACTGGGAATCACTGGATACCAGAGCTGGGAGCATCCCAAGGGATTGGGAATCACTGGATACCAGAGCTGGGAGCATCCCAAGGGATCAGGATCCAATGGATAGCAGAGCTGGGAGCATCCCAAGGGATTGGGAATCACTGGATACCAGAGCTGGGAGCATCCCAAGGGATCGGGAAATGATGGAACAGCCCTGGATACCAGCGCTGGGATCAGCCATTCCCAGGAAAAGGCGGGAAGAGGAGGACAAACCGGGACGGGAAGACAACCCAGGGATCCCCTGGGACGCTCTGGAGCCTCTCCTGAATTTCCAAATTCCCAAATTCCCGAATTCCCCCGATCCCAGCGTTACCTCCGGGTGCGTGGAGCGGATCAGGGCCTTGAGGGTCCGCCCGATGTCCTTCTCCAGCTCCGCCTCCGCCACTCCCTGCGGGAAAAATCGGGATCCAGGGGGGGAATTCCGCGCCCGTCCCGCATCCCGGGAAAACCCCCGGGAAGCTCACCGGCTCCTGGAAGTAGAACTGGTATTCCAGGGCGGGATGTTCTTTCATCTTCTCCAGGATATCCACGGCGGGATCGGCCGGGCGGTACGGGGTGTTCAGCGAGGCCACGGCCCTGGGAATTCCCAAAGGGAAAAAGCGGCGTTATCCCGGAATTCGGGATCAGCGGAATGGAGTGTTAAGAGAGGTCATGGCCCTGAGCATTCCCAGCGGGAAAAACCAGCGTTATCCTGGAATTCCAGATGTGGAACAGTGAGTTCAGCAAAGCCACGGCCCTGGGAATTCCCAGTCGGAAAAATCAGCGTTATCCCAGAATTCCGGATGTGGAACAGCGAGTTCAGCAAAGCCACAGCCCTGAGCATTCCCGGTGGGAATAATCAGCGTTATCCCGGAATTTGGGATCAGGGGTATGGAATGTTCAGTGAGGCCAC